AATACCTGTCTCTGTTTGTGGTCTAAGTGAGAAACATCGCAAGAAAAGTTATTACGGACTGTTGATAATTTTACGGCTTTTAGAATTAAAGACTCGGCAATTTAGAACTTGACATACAGGTACATGTACTGTACACACTCGTGTATTATTTTTTACAATATGTTGACCTCTAGATGTTGTTTTTTGTTTTGTTTTGTTTGGTGGGCTGCTGTTTCATTACAATACTCCTTAAAATCTTTTTATTCACGTTTTAATCATTTTTTAGAATTTCACATTTATTCATAAAATAAAACTTTTATTACGGTCAATGATTGCAATTGAATAAAATTTATAGGCTTCTGAATAGTTTTAAAGTTCACTTGATAAAATTATCTCCACTGGATCACAGCACAAAGGTTACTTACATGAGGTCTTTTCCTGCAAACGGAACTTCTTTTTTGTACATAAATTAGGCCGCTAGTTTTCTCGTCTGAATTGTTTTACAGTGTCATTTCGGGACCTTCTATAGTTGACTATGCGGTATGGGCTTTGCTCATTGTTGAAGACCGTACGATGACCTATAGTTGTTAATTTCTGTGTCATGTTTGTCTCTTGTGGAGAGTTGTCTTATCGGCAATTACACCACATCTTCTTTTTTTATGTTGTCAGAAAACAAAAACAAAATCTTATAAAGGAGAATCTTCAATTTGCCAAAGGATGCTTTTGTCCAGACAGAGAAACTAAACCATAGTTTTGAAATTTTTGATTTGGCAAAACGATTGAATTAATAGCGAAAGGACAGGACATATTACCTATTCCCCCACCCACTCCCAGCTTTGGTTTTGTTTCTGTTCCTCTCCCAACTTTCCACACTATACCCACTTAAAGTACGATTGTAAAGCAAGTCAGTGGCGGATCCAGAAATTTTCATAAGTAGGGACCCACTGACTGCATAAGAGGGGGCCCGCTCTCGTCACGCTTCAGTGATTCTCTATATAACCAATTTTTCTTCAAAAAGGGGGCCTGAGCCTCCCCCCTGAATACGCCTCTGCACGTCACTTTTATAATCTTGTACTATTATATACTTTCTCTTCAGTTTTTAATGCTGTTTTTTTAGGGGGAAGAGGGGAGAGAGTGGGAGAGGGTAGCAAGTTGCGATTAAAATCCAAATACTAGTACTTCTCTCATAGCGTAATTTTATTGGTAAATAACTATATATATATTTTTTCACCACAGCGCGACGCATTGCGGGGTACATAAAATATCACACGCCCATTCCTCTGTCTGTCCTTTATGTCCTTCTGGTTAATAGATTTTTCAAGTGTACAATTCTTGCCAAGTTTTTATAAAACTAATATCGTATGGACACGTTCGAAAATCAGTGCATATCAACTGTTCTTTAAAAGAGTTATGCCATTTGGAAATATTAATTATATTGGAAATTGCATTGTATTTGATGTCAATCCGTCATTTCTCTAATATATTTGTAAAAAAAAATAAAGAACAAAATAAACAGCTGCGCTAAGAGCGCATGATACGCCCATCGTCTTATGAAAAAAACTCATAATAAATGTTTTTAAAATAACACGGGGGTTGTACAGGAATTCATGCTAAGTATATCCTGACTCATTCCTTATTCTTTCTCAATAGGAAGTTTATATATCACATCATGTGTTCTATGATTTCAAATTGAAGCTCAATAAAAATTCAAGAACTCAAAAATGAATTAATGAAACATCACGAAAAAGTATACAGATCTTTAGATTAATTTAAGTAACAAGTATGTGAAGTTTTATGCAATAATTTTAAATAGTTTCTGAGATACGGCGCGACTTGTGAAAACCCCCTCTTTTTTCATAAACCCAATAACTGTAAAATAAAATTTTGAATCATCCCCAAAAAGTACACAGGTCTTCAGATTAATATAACTAAGAAGTGTGTACAGTTTTAAGCAATAATCATAATTCGTTTTTGAGATACGGCGCGAACTGTGAAAAAAACACCTCTGTTTTAGTTACAAAGTCCTGTAACTCAAAACGTTCACCAAAAAGTATACTTATCGTTTGACCATCATAAAAAGCAACTATGTTAAGTTTAATGAAATTTGGATATTTGTGCTGTACTATGTTAAAGACGGACAGACAGACGCCGGACATTTGTATACCATTATTACGTTCCGTCAAAATTTTTTGGGCGTTAATATTGTTGACTTTTGCCTTTTGTTAGATAAAATACGTGCAACGTGGAAGAAATAGGAACTTTGTTGTATCATTTTTAATATTAGCGGCATACCATTATTTATTTTAGTAAATTGTTCAGTTAGGAAATTTACTTCTTCGTGTACCTAAATTTTCGGTATTAGTTTTAAAATATCATTGGTTTTCTGTGCTGTAATAAAATGTCAGAAAATCGGATTCGGACCAAATCATGGATGATGAATGATAATAAAAATGATAATTGACATGCATTATATTAGTAACACCAAAAGGGTCAGTCGTCTTGAGATTGCTCACTATACGATACTTTGTTGAAGCTCTCACAGATACAGTAAAATGTTTTATTTCTTCTGATTTTATTAGACTGTTATCCTGTTAGAATCAAATGCACTAATATTAATGGTTTAGAAGTTAGCATGCGGGAGAAACAGAAATTGAAGCATCGAAAATCCACATTACGTTTCTTATTACGGAAAATTACACGCATTACGTCCCGCAAAAAGTGACGTTTTGCGGGAATTCAAACGCATAACGTCGCGCCAAGAGTTAACTCCCTTGAAACTGTATCGGATGCCCTTAAGTAGCTTTATGCATACGGGCCCTGGACTTGATAATTGTTTGCTAAACAAAAAATAAACTCACATTCACTGATTGGTTGTTGGTTGCTTAACGTCCAATGGCAAATATTTTGTGCATGTTCAGGACGATGGAAGACTACAACATTCAGATTTGTTTGTACATTCAAATATAATGCTCACAAAATTTAAATATTTGAAATATCATTTAAGTATGATATTGAAAATTGTTTGTTTTAGATGTAACTGTCCCGTTGGTTTGAAGTTAGAATGGGATCAAGTTGGATATTATATTAGGTCAGATGTCAAACGCACCATACAAACACTGCGTCTTTCGTCAGGCACTTGTCGATTGGGTTTTGGTTCAGTTGCATTTCCCTTGTGAAAAACAAAACTTATATTTTCCTCTAAGTAACACAGAGTAACTTTAGTTGAAATTTTATATTTTTTTTACGTTGATTATTTCCTGAAATATTTGAAATGAAGGATGTAATTCCAGTCAATTGTATACTTACATATTTTTTTTCATTAACGTAGCTGTATATATACAATTATATATCCACGTATTTATAATATGTTCATAAAACAGAAACACACAATAATCTGTTATGTTATTATGTCAATATAAACCTGTAACGGTGCAATCATACGCATGTACCCTATGTACAGTGGAGATCACTTCTAACCTCTCATCAAATCTGACACCTTTTAGACAGTTCTAGCTAAAACAGTTCTAACCTAGAACTGATTTGGTCAGTTCTACCTAGAACTGATTTAGACAGTTCTACCTAGACAGTTTTAGATAGTTCTACGGCTAGAACAGTTCTACAACTAGAACATTTCTACGATTAGAACTGATTTGGTCAGTTCTACGTCTAGAATTGATTTAGTCAGTTCTATCCATAGAACAGTTTTAAGAACTCTTTGTCTTAAATATAAATAAGTCAAAAGAATATAATATATATTAAAAAATTCTCATCACAGCACTGTTTTAACATTTCTCGTTAGGGAAAATGTCCATAACCGTTTCCTCGGTCGCTTTTATAGCGAAAATTTTGTTACGATGGATGTCAATGGAGGATAGTGGCAAAACAAATAATTTTATGAAATATTTGTACTTACGAGTAAAGAAGTACCAAACTTCATTATTTAGAGTTTATAATGAACCGGACTGGCGATATTCTGACGGGAAAGGGGTGACACGTTTTTTTGTGGATGGAACATGCTTTTTGACAATAAGATTCAGTGTTACCGTTTTGATCGAGGTCACAGTTTGTTTACATTCTTCATAATTATTTTATTTTTTAACCCTTTCTTGTGTAGAGTTAGTTATTTTATCAGGTCTGAGATTACTATAACAATAGTATACTATGTGTTATAGTAATCTCAGCCCCATTCCACCCAAACTATCTGTGAGGGGGGTAATGTAGGGAAGAGGGATGTTTCATCAGAGTTTACGAAATGTTAAATTAGCTGTGAACTGTGATAAGTTAGCTGATCACAGTTCACAGCAAATACAACAAAACTGTTCACGAAAAACAATAGTTTAACACCACCTTCATCACTGTTTACGAAAAACGACGATTTAAAAACTTCATCACGGAAAACGTTGATAAAATTAAAAGACTTATATCACAACTCTCTCTGTGTCGGATAAAATACTGGAAATCTTCACATACGATTTTCCACTTTGGCGAAGATTAACTATTCGCTGTTTCAAATACATTGAAATTCTGTTAACTTTGACAGGAGGCATTTTGCGTGTGGCTTTATCAACGATAATAATAACACTGAGTGGTGACCAGTGAGATGCCCTAACTGCAGTGACGTCATTTAGAACTGTTCTACAATCCTGACAGGTTTGGTCAGTTCTGCTGACAGTTCTACGGTTAGAACTGATTTAGTCAGTTCTGCTGACAGTTCTACGGGTAGAACTGATTTGGACAGTTCTACATAGAACAGTTTTAGACAGTTCTACCTAGAACTGATTCGGACAGTTCTACTTAGAACAGTTCTAGGGAAGAACTGTTCTAGGTAGAACTGTTCTAGGACAGTTAGAACAGTTCTATGACAGATTATTCTGACAGTTCTAATGAGAGGTTAGAAGTGATCTACACTGTATGTCCATCAATATAATTCGTGCCGGTTTTAAAAACACCCTAAATTGGTGATTGTAAAACAACGCACATGAACCCAAGATGAATGAACTTATGAATTTACGATGTCCAAGCAGTTTCGATGTTCATTTTATTTTATGCATAATATATAAAGAAATTTGGAAGTTGTATGAAAAACAATTGCAAGTTATACACTGTCCACACTACGGACTTCCAGTTATTTCGTAGTGCATTTAGTTAAGACAATAAATTCAAATTTAAAAAATCGCACTTCCTCTATCTCAAAAAGTGTTTACATTGTAGTGTTCTAGTCTTGGGACAAATTATATCTCAAAATTATGAAAAAAAAGTTTTAAACTCGCTTACTTAAAATATGGACAATTCTATAGTAAGGGGGTCTATAATTCAGCTTGACAGCTTCAGACATACTAATTTTTTACTTCTTTTAACTGGACTAAATCCCCACTTTACCTCAAAATTCATCAACCTCATTTTGTATACATGTAATGTCATCCCCCTGCTTAACATTTTATGCATGAAATATAAAGAAATTTGGAAGGTGTATGGAACAAATTTGCAAGTTATACACTGTCCACACTAGGGACTATCAGTTATTTCGTATTGTATTTCATTTAGACAATACATTCAAATAAAAAAAAATCGCACTTCCTCTATCAATTCTATCTCAATAAGAATTTATATTGTAGTGTTTTACTTTTGGGACAAATCATATCTCAAAATTATAAAAAAAAGTCAACCAACTCACTAACTCTAAGAATGAACAGTTCTTTAATAAGAGGGGTCTTTTATTCAGCTTTACAGCTTCAGACATACTAGTTTTTTGGATTATTACTGGATTAAATCACTTCTTTGCCTTAAAATTCATCCCCCCAATTTTGTTAGCATGTTATTTTATACCCTTACTTAATATTTTAAGCATAAAATATAAAGAAATAAATGAATAAGTTTTGCAAATTATAGACTGTCCACACTAGGGACTTCCAGTTATTTCGTAGTGCATTTCTTTTAGACAATAAATTCAAATTAGTAAATCGCACTTGCACTATCTAAAAACATTTTTAGAGTTCTACTTCTGTGATTTATCAAAATTTAAAAAAAAGTATATCTGCTTTAAATTTAACTACGGACAAATCTTTTTTAAGGTGGTCTATAATTCAGCTGGTCAGCTTCAGACATATTAATTTTTTACCTTTTTTAAGTGGACCAAATCACTAGTTTACCTATAAAGTCATCAACCCATCTTTTTTCAACATGTAATTTCATCCCCCCTAATTAATATTTTATGCATGGAATATCAAGAAATTTGGAAGGTGTTTGAAACAAATTTGCAAGCTATACACTGTCCACACTACTGTCACTAGGGACTATCAGTTATTTCGTAGTGCATTTCGTTAAGACAATACATTCAAATTGAAAAAATCGCACTTCCTCTATCTCGAAAAGTGTTTACATTGTGGTGCTTTACTTTTGGGACAAATCATATCTCAAAATTATAAAAATGTCTTCCAGCTGTATTAGCGAAATTGAAAGGCAGGAAATGGTAGTTTTTATACTCTATTGATTTATAGTTATACTTAAAACTCTCCTGTTCGTCAGGTGAAGTTATTCAAAATATTTCATGCATCTTCAGGACGAGAATAGAGTCCGGGATGAAGGTCGTGGGAAACTTTGGATTGCTACTGGAAAATGAGGGTATATTGGTTAGGGACAGAAATTTTGCATTGCAACAGGCCACCTACGGACCTCAAAGAGTTGTTGCAAGGGTTCTTAACGTGCAGAAAGCGAGAGAGGCATGTCTAGAGGACAACATAAAAAAAATTGCGAGACAGCTTCCAAGTTACCACAGTGACAAGTTTTTTTCTAATACGTTAACGCAATGCAGCACAAATATGCATATATTTCCACATGATAATATTTTGTTAATTAGTATGAAATATCATGTTCTCCTAAACAGGAACTCAATGGGAAATTCAATATTTCCTGCAATAAGTAGAGTATCGGTAATCGGTCTTGTACCACCTAAATGAATAATTGGTCGTGTTGATCCAATTCGAAAACTGGAACCAGTATTACCAAGCTGGATAAATGGCAATGTTCTGCTTTGATAGACTACATTCGAAATATGTATATGTGTTCGTGTATGCCCAAGCCATATACATATAACACGGTGGCCATTATTGCAACCTGCTGAATGAACAACTCGTACCTAGAATATAATAAAAACATTTTCATAATGGAATTTTTTGGATTATACCAAACAATATTTATATAAAGGCATATATGTTTACGCAGAACTATTATTCAATGTGAAATAAGGGTGCTGAAACCTTATTAAAAATTAACGTTTAGGAATTTTGGCCTCTCTTTCATATGAACAACTCTTGAAAAAAATTAAATAAGATTTTTGAAAATATAATAATGTTGTTGTTACAATGACGTCCTTCCGTATTTACAGGAAAACATTTACGAAAATACCGCCTCTCATTATTAGCATGAACTTCTAAGATATGTAAGAGGACAGTGATTTAAAATTCCATTTTTTACAACCCTTTTAAAAATGCAAAAAAAAAAAGATTTGTGTTTACATCTTTCATTCCCAAAAATTTTATTTAAACACAACCTAGTCCTTCTTACAATGTGATCAAAAATCAAGTGGTTTTTTTCCCATTTTCCAAAAGACAAAGAATTTTCGATAAAATTAAATTCATTGCTTTTTTCAGTACCCTTTTATTGTCAATTTTGAGTGGTTTGTTTTTTTCAAAAAAGCTTTCTAAAATTACTTTAGGATTGAATTTTTTTTCTGAAAGCTAAATTTTAATTGCACTCACCATGAATAAAGAATAAAACAAGTGTTTTAGGATACAACCTGCAAGTTGTTCTACTGGTTATAACTTGAATCCGACAACAAACTGACCGGTTTATTGTTAACGATCGAAGTCTTGCTATCTAAAATATGCAAAAAAATAGAGACATATAATCAATACTGTATAGACTTATTCAGATCAAAATATATGGACGCGACCATAATTGTGAGTGGAGGTCGGGTTTCATTCCTGGCTTACCTCCTCTCCTTTCAGAACCAATTTCCATGTTTAATGTGCCTCGAATGAGTGTGGCCATCCATACAGTTAGAGTTTAAATTAAAGTTAGGGATACCATTCGAGTTAAACTTCGAGTTAGTCTTCGATTTCGAGTTAGAATTCAAGGCATAATTAGAATTACATTTCGAGTTAGCATTGAGTTTCGTGTTGAACTTCGAGTTTGAGTCACATTTGAAGGCAGAATTCGAGTTACAATTCGACTTCAACTTTGAATTTGAGTCACCTTTTGAGGTAGAGTTCGAGTTAGACTTAGAACTTGAGTCTCATTTAGATTACCGGTAAGATTTCGAGTTGAAATACGAACTAAATATTAGTTCGTATTTAGATTTTCTATCGCTGATCGAGGGCTTTAACTCGGGCTTCCGAAAAGAGGGTTTAGGGGTATGGGCACAAAAAATAAACAATATTACAGTATACAAAACACAACATAGAAATCTAAACAAAGTTAGAAGATGTCGTATGGTTGTCAGTGAGACTATCCATCAGACTTTAAATGCAGTATATGTTAGCAAGTATAGGCAACCGTACGGCCTTCAATACACCGTACAGTCGGCTATAAGAGGCCACAACGTGAAAATGTGATGTAAAACAATTCAAACGAGAAAAGTAACGGCCTAATTTATAACAAAACAATTTACGAAAAACAAATATGACAAACATGAACCAACGACTACCATTAAACTACAGTCTCCTGACTTAGGACAGGCACATAAAGAATGTGGCGGAGTTAAACATGTCTGTGAGCGCTCAGCCCTAACCCTAACCTGGGACAAAAGTGTAACAGCACAACATAAGAAAAAAATGTCAAAATCAGTTGCAATTGGCTTAACTCGATAGATCGGTATGACTGGGCGATATAAATCGGAAACGTACAATCTAAAATTCATAAAAATCGAAAGGGAGCTCACATCAATATATATAAACAATTCACCAAAGTTTTTTTCAAATAATTGAATTGGTGAAAGTGCTTCTGAGCTATTGTCTGAAAACTGGAAAATCACCCGTTTTTAAATGAATAAAACCTCATAACTCGGAAACATAAAATCTAAAATCTATAAAAATCGAAAGGGAGCTCACGTCAATAGATATAAACAATTCACCAAAGTTTCATGCAAATTGGTTAAAGCGTTTTTGAGTTATTGTCTGACATGTTGACGACCAATGGACGGACGGACTAACGGACGGACGGACAACGGTATTATGTCCCGAATCGGGTGTATAAAAAGAGGTGGTGTTCTAATAGCTGTGAAAAAGGAACTTATTAGTTCTGGTGCATATGAATTGTGGATGTCCCTACCCATAAAGACAATATCCTTCTGGTCATCTAAAACCTATCACAAGTACAACGTGTTGAAATTATCTCCGGTTTATCCAATCATGATATTGTGTTTGCTGAATTTGCAACAGCCCAATCAACTCAACTCAACAACAGCCAAGAGTTATCCCGTTATACAAAAAAGCAAACTGGAACGCAATAAAACGAGAAATAAACTCCTCGTATAAACCTACAGGTGATAGGTCCGTTCGCCCGGAGTTCGTTCGCGCATTGAGTCCGTTCGACTTGGGTTCGTTTTTCCTACTTTTATTAAAAAATATTATTATTAAGGGTATTAAAGTTTAATAAACTTATTCAGATATTTTAATGGTATAAATTCTCGAAATTCATGAAAACACATGGAAATATTTAAAAGTTTATGTTTTGGAGCATTAATTGTTCATAATAATAATTCTCACTGATTGTTGTAATAATTGTCTTTAATGGATTAATAATAAAAACAACATTTTGTTTTGATAAACTAGTCAGCTTGGAATGAGTAAAAACAAAGATGTACGAATTGTAAAACATCAAAAGGATTTATAAGTTCATTTATTATTATACTGAATAAATTGACTGATTAGAATTATTAAAATTGTTAACAAATATCAATAAAGATAAATACACTGTATTCCAGTATTCTACTATGCAAATCAAAGGAAAATAATTATTTGGTTGCATCATTACAAATATTTGGCGAATTTTTGAATAAACTTTAAGATACTCTGTTCAAATAATAAACATTATGCAACTAGAAAAAAAAATAAAAAAAAAAAATCAGGGCGAATGGACCCTGGGCGAACAGGTATTAGGACGAACAGGTACTAGGACGAACGTGAATCAGGGCGAACGGACCCGGATTCAAACGGTGATGGGTCCGTTACATCGCTCACCTGGAATTTGTGTGTAGATCTTGCATCAGTGATTATTTCGCTTTTGGGCTTTTCTTTTGACCCTTTTGGTTTAATCAGCTTTTCAAAATTGTATGAGGTTTTGGATTATCAAACAGTTTGACCTCGTTTTTAAAAAAAATATTTATAAATCTTGAATCTGCATGGCAGTATGAAAGTATTTTTTTGGTTAAATATAGAACCACAAACCACAGACTCCAAATAGAGCTAGGGGGAAAAGGTTAATCGAATTGAAAAAAGATGGAATACAGTCTTTGCAATTTTGGTAACATTGACGAAGAATTTCTTTACCTGCTTGATTGTTCGTTTTTGTCGAGCCTGCGACTATTGTCGCAGAAAGCTCGACATAGGGATAGTGATCCGGCGGCGGCGTTAACTAACTTCTTAAAAGCTTAATATTTCAGAAGGTAGAAGAACTGGATGCTTCATACTTTGTATATAGATGCTTTATGATATGAAGTTTCCGTCTGTTATATGTCCATTGTCCTTGACCTCATTTTCATGGTTCAGTGACTACTTGAAAAAAAAGTAAACATTTTTTGTAATGTTGATTTCTCTCTTATTATGAGTAATAGGATAACTATATTTGGTATTTGCGTACCTTGCAAGGTGCTAATGCCTGTCAGACAGTTTTTACTTGACCTCGACCTCATTTCATGGATCAGTGAAAAGGGTAAGTTTTGGTGGTCAAGTCCATATCTCAGATACTATAAGCAATAGGTCTACTTTATTTGGTGTATCGAATGATTGTAAGGTGTAGATGTCCAACTGTCAGGTGTCATCTGGCTTTGACCTCATTTTCATGGTTCAGTGGTCATAGTTTAGTTTTTGTGTTTTGGTCTGTTTTTCTAATACTGTATGCAATAGGTGAACTATATTTGGTGTATGGAAATATTTTACGATGTACATGTCAGTCTGGCAGGTTTTATTTGACCTTGACCTCATTTTCACGGTTCATTGCTCAATGTTAAGTTTTTTTGTGTTTTGGTCTGTTTTTCTAATACTGTATGCAGTAGGTCAACTATGTTTGGTGTATGGAACTATTTTACGATGTACATGTCAGTCTGGTAGGTTTTATTTGACCTTGACCTCATTTTCATTGTTCATTGCTCAATGTTAAGTGTTTGTGTTTTGGTCTGTTTTTGTAATTCTGTATGCAGTAGGTCAACTATATTTGGTGCATGGAAATATTTTACGATGTACATGTCAGTCTGGCAGGTTTTATTTGACCTAGACCTCATTTTCATGGTTCATTGCTTATTTTAAGTTTTTTGTGTTTTGGTCTGTTTTTCTTAAACTTTTAGCAATAGGTCAACTATATTTGGTGTATGGAATTATTGTAAGGTGTATATGTCTGTCTGGCAGGTATCATCTGACCTTCATCTCATTTTCATGGTTGATTGGTCAATGTTCAGTTTTCCTGGTTAACCTTTTTCTTAGATACATCAAGCAATAGATCAACTATATTTGATGCATGGAATGATTTTAAGGTGTACATGTCTGTCTGGTAGGGTTCATCTGACGTTGACTTCATTTTCATGGTTCATTGGTCAGTATAGAATTTCCATGGTTTGGTCTGTTTCTTTTATACTATAAGTAATAGGTCATCTATATTCTGTGTATGGAATGATTGTATTAAAGGTGTACATGTATTTCTTGTTTGGTTTATCTGACCTTGACCTCATTTCTTGGATCATAAATGTTAATGTGATACTTGTAGTAAAACTTTATGATTAGGACTATCAACATAAAATAAATGGTCAGTATAGTAGTCGAGACATTTTAGCGTGTGCACTCTTGTTTTTTTTAACGACTTGGATAACGGGAGATGAAGCTGCTTTCATATCACTATATAAATATATATAAAGTCAGCAGGGTTTAAGAACATCCGTTGTTCGACCTGTTAGTCAAATGCGTTTTGTTTAAATATACTTTTTCACTTTTTTGACTCTTTTGGAAAATGTTGTTTGTGCTGTATTTACCCCCTCTACCAAGAAATTTGTTTTGCATGCACATGTATAAAAATTGCGGATTTTATCCAACGCAATCATAGGTTTGAACGTTGTTTTCAATTTAGACTTATTTATATTTTTTCGTTTGGGCTTGTATTATATTTTCTTTCGGGTTTATATGATCCGTTCATCCTATTTCGACTCTTCAAAATTCAAGAGTCTATCCTCAATTGAGGTAAATTATATGGCCTTCCAAATACCGTTTCGATTCCCAACATCACTGAAGAGACATTAATTGTCGAAATCCGGATATGGTGTACAAATTTTTGCACCTCATGTTTGCGGTATACAATCTTTTCCGCAAGTTTATTGTTTTCTGTTTGGTATTAAATTAATAATAAAGATCCATTTTGTTACATCTAGTGATCCGTTTATTTGGCAATCGCCAATGGCAGTCAGCAGGGTTTAAGAACATCCGTTGTTCGACCTGTTAGTCAAATGCGTTTTGTTTAAATATACTTTTTCACTTTTTTGGTCTTTTGGAAAATGTTGTTTGTGCTGTATTTAGACCCCCTCCACCAAGAAATTTGTTTTGCATGCACACGTATAAAAATTATATAATTTGGTTGACAAATTTGAATTTTTGAACGGAGTTACACTTACCTGATAGGTTTACATAATTGGATATTCTTTCCGGTATTTGGTCATATCTCGCTCAAGCGCTCAGCTGATCTTTTAAAAATCATCTACATCTATATCAGTTAAGCGCTTAGAACTTCAGTTCTCTCCGGTGAAAATCCAGCTGAATTCACCAAAAGAAATTACTGAGGGGAGGAGGTGGGTAGTATATCAGGTAAGTGTAACTCCGTTCACAGAATTCAAATTTGTGAACAAAATTATATAATTTTATATTCACTCCGTTACACTAACCTGATAGGTTTACATAATTGGATACATCCAGAATTCAAAGCAGTACTTTGTTCTGTGGTTGGTAGTAATTTCTTGTTCAATTTATATATATACACTGTACATTTTTAAAACAATAAAAGCACTCCTCCTCTTCTCCATGTAAACTATCAACCTTTATTTACACTAATATTAAAATGAATATTCTGTTGTTCGATCATTCAAACAAATTTTTAGTCTTTATTCATTATCTAAAATTCCATCGCATCTCGTCGGAAATGAGGATTTCAATATATATATATTATATATGTACAATATTTTTTTAATGTTTATTTTATATTTTTTTTTTTTTATTTTTTCTTATTCAACAATTAAGATAAAACGCTCGGTTCTAGGTTTCTCAAATAAAATTTCGTGAAAGTAGACTCTCTACTCCAGTCTGCTGCCTCCATAATGGATTTCATAGATGAACCCTTAAATAGGGCACATGAAGGGCCACTAGCTCTTGTACTATGAGCTTTGACAGACTTATTTTTGTCATTATATGCCATTTGGATAGTTTGGACAATCCAATTCGAAATTGTCTGACTAGAGACCGGGTTGTGCGGGCTATTTACACTTAAAAACAATTTACTATTACTTCTGTCACAATTACGGAAGTTATCTGTCATTTTCAAATAATAACAAAATGACCTTTTCGGATTCTATAATTTGTTGTCCTTAAAACTTGGAACAAATATTTTTGAACCAATATGTCCAGGTCGATCCTGTTTTGAAAGGCCTTCTCTAATGAAAAACACACCAGTACTATGTACACTAATATTACCATCTCCTATTCTCAATGCTTGAAGATCACTACAGCGTCTGAAAGTAGTAATAGCAAATAAGAAAATAGTTTTCTAAGTAACATATTTTAAAACACTGTTTTTCATTAGTTCAAACGGACTTTTTTGTAACATGTCTAAAACTTTCAGAAGATCCCATTCTGGTAGAAGTTTAATTTTAGGGGGTCTTGAATTGAATACACCTTTTAAAAGTCTTATTATGTATGGATGTTGGCCTACAGGAATTTTTTCTATAGGCGGTAAGACTGTAGATAACATGGACCTATATCCAGCTATTGTTCTATATTGAAGTCCACTAGTAAACAGACCTGTCAAAAAATCTGCTACCTCTGTCAAAGAGGCAGTATAGGGATCAATTTCCCTTTCATAAAACCAGCTACAGAATTTTTTGAATTTGCCAGAATAATCTTTTTGAGTTCCTGCTCTCCATGAGGCAGATAATAATTGTATAGTGTCTTTAGAAAAGCCTCTCTTTTTAAAGATCCTGTTGATAGAGGCCATACAGTTAGATTGAATATTTCTGGATTGGGATGATAAATCCTTGATTCTGGCTGGTTTAAAAGATTGCTTTGAATTGGAATTTTTAAAGGGTATTCTACTAGTAATTTCAACAGGTCTGGGTACCATGGTCTTCTTGGCCAATGTGGTGCTATTAGAAGAATTTGACACCTGTACTGGGACATGTGTTGTAGAATTTTTGGAATAAGGCATATTGGAGGATATGCATACCCGAACAGATTCTGCCATGGAATTGACAGTGCGTCTAGAGCATAAGCTTGATTGTGAGGAAACCACGTGCAAAAAATCTGAGTTTGTTTGTTGTGGATTGATGCAAACAGATCTATTGTCGGTGATCCTACTTTTAGGAATATCTTTTGCACTATAGATTTTTCTAGTGTCCATTCTATGTGTCTTATTTTGTTTCTCGACAATAAATCCGCTAGAATGTTTGCTTTGCCCGCAATGTGGGCTGCTTTCAATTGAATCTGATGGTCGATTGCCAAATTCCATAGTGCCCAAGTTTTTAGACAAAGAATTATTGACTTGGTCCCCCTTGACGATTGATGTATTGTACCACTGTTGAGTTGTCGCAACGTATTAATACATTTTTCCCTTTCAGTTGGGATAATAAGTGTTTTATTGTTCTTATCACTGCTTCCATTTCTAAGCAGTTGATATGAAGTTTTTTCTCTGAAAGGTTCCAAGTTCCTTGTGCTATCTGAGTCCTTATGTGACCTCCACAACCCACTGATGTCGAGGCATCCGTTGTCATGGTGGCATGGGTTTCCCAATGTTTCAATGATCTCCCATTTGTTATGTTGGTTTGATTTAACCACCATTTTAGATGGCTTCTTAGATGTGCAGTAATTGGGACTTTGAATTCCAGATTCTGAGAAACTGGTTTCCAAAATTTTAACAGATGTATTTGAACAGGTCTCATGTGTAATCTGGCATTGGGAATTATTTCTAAGCAGGATGACATTATCCCTAAAAGGTGAAGAAAATCTCTGGCTATTACTTGATTTTGAAGGATCATTGTCTGGGCTGAAGTTATTAATTTGGATGTTCTCTCCACAGTTGGCAAAACGACCCCCGGATCCAAATGAGTACTAATTCTCGATCTAATAATATTTGACTTTTTTCCTGATTCAGAAGGAACCAGTCGTCTAGATAGACTACCAGTCTTATGCTCTTTGACCTTAAATGGGCAGCTACTACTGCAACAATTTTTGTAAAAATTCTTGGGGCTGAGGTTGGACCGAAAGGTAGAGCCTTGAAATGAAGAGCTCTTCCGTTTTTTAGACAAAACCTCAGATATTTCTTGTGCGTTTTGTAAATTGGGACGTGTAAATATGCGTCCTTTAAGTCCAGACTCATTCCTCAATCTCATTGTTTTACCAGATTGAAAACCGTAGAAAGGGAATCCATTTTGAAATGTTGTTTTCTGAGATAATTGTTGAGGGGTTTTAAATTTATTACTGGTCTCATGTCCCCTGTTTTCTTGAGGACAAGAAAAAATGTGCTGTAAAAACCGTTTTCTATTTCGTTCAGTGGTACATATTCTACAGCTTCTTTTTGTACTAGCTCTCTTATTTCTGTATCTAAAATATCTAGATCTTTTGCAGATACACAGGTGTATTTTATTCCTGTGTTCTTTGGAATCTCTAAGAATTCCAGTTTGTAACCCTCTTTGATAACAGAAATCACCCATTGATCGTCTGTTATTTCTCCCCATTTTTTCAGAAAATAAATTAGACGTCCCCCAACAGGTATCTCCGGATGACAAGCCATGATATTGCTTACCTTTAAATAGTCATTTTCTTTGTTGGTTTTTTCCCTGGTTGCCCCATGAGGGACGAAAATTAGTTCCTGTTTTCTCAAACTTATTGTCACTCTTGTCAGGTCTTGAAACAGTCGTTGTTCTCTGAAAAGAACGCTGAGTACCTGGAGATGATTTAAAACTGTTCTGATTAACATTTGGTTTCACACGTTTTGCTTGCCAATCATTAGAAGTAGTGTTTTTCCTTTTACCCAGAAAAGACCCAGGTTTATTTCCAATATTTAACTCAGGAAGCAATTCCTTAAGTTGTTTATCTTTTTCGATCCTATCTTTCAATGTTTTTTCAAACTTATGACCAAACACTCCACTGCTTGAAAGTGGTAAAGAAATTAACGAATTTTTGAGTTCTTTAATATCATTTAACCCAGTATCTTCCATTACTAGTTTTCTTCTAATAAGGTGATGCCCTATCGATATTCACCTCTTTGTCTAATAAAGTTTCTAAGAGCGTACATAAAGCCTGCTGAATATAAGACGATGAAACAATACCCACTTTTGCAGCAGCTTGTCCTTGATAAGCCAATTCCTCTACTGATTTCAAATAAGGTGAATATAAAGTCTTTTTCTTGCTAGATACTGAAAAGTCTTTTGGATCGTGTTTTTTAACCAGTAAGTCTGATGTAAAACTGTCAAGACTAGGTATATCTAAGTGTTTCTCAGAACTTTCATGAATAGGAAAACACAACTTGTATTGTTCATTATATGCAGTTATCTTTTCTGGTTTTTCACAATGCCATGATCCAGAAAGAATCTCAATTTGACTCTTGTCTAAAACAAGGCCAACTGACTTAGAAACTGATTAAGTTTTGGCGTCGTCACCAAAAAACTGTTTGAGATTGTCAATATCAGAGTCTTTTTCCTCGGTTTCTTGACACTTTAATTATTTACTGAATCTAGCTACCGTATTATGGTTTTAATTGTCACTTCTCATTGAAGTCCCATCTTTTTCATCTGAGAATAACCCAATGTTAAGTCTCTCTGAACGATCTGGGTCCAGAGACATAACATCTCCATGTAAATTTTCCTCTGCCTCATTATCTGTAGGTAAATTTACATCAGGAGTTTGTGTTTCTTGTAAAGGTCTGCGCGCTCCCGAAGAGCCGCTATCCTGTTGATTACAAGTAGAAACATTTTGTACCTGCTCACCCGAAGTGCCAGGGTTTTGTCTAGTTTCCATAAAATTACATATTTTATCTAACCTTGAATCAAATTGGGTAAACCTGCTTTCCCATTTCTGTTCTAAGGCGTCTAGCTGGTCGTCTTTTTTCTTAGTAGAACTGCTTTTGCTCTTCTTAGACGAAGAAGAAGAACGAGTACGAGCCGCCATCTTTGTCGTTTCGTTCGCGTCAGTTGACAAACTGGGACGCTCCTGCAAAACGTCGTCTTCGCTATTTGAACCGTTCATATCGACTTCTGCCATAATGCAAATTATTTAAGACTTCTATATCATAAACTAAATAAGTTCACTGTATTTTCTCAGAGCGAAAACACGACCGGCTGGATTTTCGCCGGAAAGGAGACTGAAGTTCTAAGCGCTTAACTGATATAGATGTAGATGATTTTTAAAAGATCAGCTAAGCGCTTGAGCGAGATATGACCAAATACCGGAAAGAATATCCAATTATGTAAACCTATCAGGTAAGAGTAACGGAGTGAATATAAAATTGCGGTTCTTATCCAACGCAATCATAGGTTTGAACGTTGTTTTCAATTTAGACTTAAATATATTTATATATATATGCACAATTTCTGCTGAAGTGTTGTATTTAACACTTTACTTTCAAATTCAAAATGTTAATAGCATATATATTATTTTTCGGATATCTGTAACTATAAGAATTGAATACCGTTTTTTTCTTAAACCTATACGAAATGAAAGCTAGTGAAGATCACATTTTTAGCAAGAAATGCTTCCATGCTTCATGCAAAATTTGAATGTGACTTGAAATATAAATTTTCACAAAAAAAAACCAGCATTCCGTTCTATAGTATAAGCTTATCGAGTTGTCCGAATATTGACTAGAAAATGCTGATGTGTCACTTTAGAAATAACTACAATGATTAATCTTTAATTATTAGAGTAATAGAGTAAAATAAAATTGAAATACATGAAAACAGTCATATACTTGGGGTCCAGAATTACCAAGTTTATAGTTAATGGATAAACAGCAAGATCTCTACTAGTCATTCGTGTCATTGAAGGTATGAACATACCGTATAAAACTTGAAATATCTTATGGCACGACGTAGGACGGTGGAATCTGTTTTATGTAGACTATTTCTCTTTTTTGAGTGATTGATAACTAAATATTTTTCTTTCTGTAAGTTGTCATCATGTACGGCTGCCTTTTTGTGAAATTAAAGCAGCGGAATCAGGGTTGCGTTCAGTATCCTAGCAACTAGTAAAAACGCTATGCCCTACATTTCTATCTATGTTGAACGAAATGCTACATAGCTAGCTCGCTTTCAAAAAATGCGTCGATTGAAAAATTATTCTATTGAATAGCAATACTCCTATTTCTGCTTGAACATTTTGCCAGTTTTTTTTACAAATCTCGTACGCTTGCAATGACATATATAAATATTTTTATTATTATTTTTTTTAATTTAGATATACATGATATATGGATTCTCTAGCAAGCATGAATTTTTGGTGCTATCTTAATCAGACTAATCTCGAGTTGGTTTTTTCTTAATGAGTTACACCAGGTTGTGTTCAATATCGTAGCTGCTACGTAGGGCTACGCAGCTTTTTACTACTGAACGTATAGCTAACCTAGTCAAATTTCTTTCTGAATGTATTCTAAGAATCAAATAATTGCAGATTACAAATAAAATACATCATCATGTTTGAGTTTGAGTTTTATTACGTGAATAGTAGAGAAGTCATGCGATATCATTACAACATAGCATATCCTTGCATGTTTTGTTTTCCTTCAAACTAAACATAACCAAACATTTACTTGTTAGTTGTTGTCTTCGAACAAGCTTTTATTAACAGCGAATACTCACAAAAATATACTTTGTGTCTTTTATTTTTTTATTAGTTGTTTTGTGATTTGTGTCGATCTGATGAATAAACCCTTTTCTAGTGATGCTTATAGTTTGCTCTTATGTTGTGCTGTTACACCACTGTCCTAAGTTAGGGGAGGGTTGACGCACCCACAAACATATTACCCAAATTAGTCAAAGAATTGTCCGGAAGTTACTACCATTCTTTCTCTTGTAACTAAGTTAAGCATATTTACTAATAATACATGTCGGGAAATACTTAGTATTTAAAGATGGAAGTAATAAGTTTGTCTTACTTAGTTTACTAACAAAACCTTTTTATCAGTGGAAGGAAAATGTGCACTGATTCCCTATACTTGTCATACCGTAAGGATAAGGTAAGTTTCATGATAAATTATTCTTTTTGAATTAATACTTTTCCATTTCAATTAAGAAATTATCATCAGAATTTGAAATGTATTTTCTACAAAGAATTTTGAATATAAATTTTAGTTTTGTGTTGTTAGAAAAAGATACATAAAAACTTCTTCAAGGGCATTAACAAGTAGACAACCGTTATTTAGACTGAAATACAATTCAAAAGTTTTCCTTCCAAAATATCCGGCACATACATTTTATTTTCTACAAATACAGAAGCCCGTTTTCCTTTGGAAGTGTGTTTAAAACCGCGATGGAAGAAAAAGTAATCAAACGTGGAAAGAAGTTAGTGAGAGGTGTTATACGCAGATCTAAAAAATACCGAACTCGAAGGCAAATTCAAAAAGGGGAAGTCCATAAAAACTGACAAAATCAAACACTATCAATCAACGGAATAAGTGAAAACAACTGCCATATTCCTGACTTGGTAAAGGCATATTTTGAACGAAATAGTGGGTTAAATCTATTTTTTGCTAACTAAACGTCACACTTGTATGACCGTTGTTTATAGTTCTGTTTTATTGACAAAATGGGATAAGCAACCCAAGCAAAAATAATAGGTTAATGTGACAGTAATTGGTATCTAGCAGCCAAAACTGTGTAAACATACATCACAGACATACAACACAACTAACTAAAAAATTCAAAAAAACATGCAAATTAAACTTACAAAGATGCCAACAAAAAAGGTGAGGTAGATTTAGTTTAACCATACTTTATTTGCTATATATCAGCAAAATGGATGAGACACAAGTAAATCCTACTTATGAAGTCTTCTCCATATTACAATACAAGTATATATACAATAATAACATTATGAGCATGCATGTAAAGCGAACAAATTCATTAAATATTATACAAACTATAAATAGAAAGAAGAAAAGAGCAAGAAGAATGGAATTTCCGAAAAGGAGGAAAAGAAAATGAAGCAAATCATATTTTCTGTAATGATGACTTAGGTTTGATGGTGATTATCATCCGTGCCAGTAGCAATAACATTTTATGAAGGTAATAGAAATCTGTTAGTAGATAGATATAAGAAGATGTGGTATGAGTGCCAATGAGACAACTCTCCATCCAAGTCACAATTTATAAAAGTAAACCATTATAGGTCAAAGGACGGTCTTCAACACAGAGCCTTGGCTTACACCGCACAGCAAGCTACAAAGGGCCCCAAAAATTACTAGTGTAAAACCATTCAAACGGGAAAACCAACGGTCTAATCTATATAAAAAACGAGAAACGAGAAACACTTATGAACCACATCAACCAACGACAACTACTGAACCTCAGATTCCTGACTTAGGATAGGTGCAAACAATTGCAGCGGGTTTAAACGTTTTAATGGTACCAAACATTCACCCTTACCTGAAACAATAGTGTAACATCCCAACATAGAAAGACACAGACATTTTAATAAAATCTTGAACATGTCTGAAAATTAGGAGATTTTGTTCATTTGAAAGTTCATTATATTGACAACGATGTGTGAACAAACCAAACACAATTATCCCTTGTAATTTTTTAATAACTGTGTATTTGCATTCAGGTGTCACAGGTCAAATTTATTCGTTCATTGTGTGTTAATTTACATTTTTTGATTGAGTTAAGCCTTCCAATTGATATTTTATAGTGCGTTTTTCTATGTTGTGATGTTATACTATTGTTTCAGAAAAGGGAGAAGGTTTGGTACCATTAAAACGTTTAATCCCGCTGCAAATGTTTGCACCTGTCCTAAGTCAGGAATCTGATTACAGTAGTTGTCGTCTGTTTATGTAGTTCATACGTGTTTCTCGTTTCTCGTTTTTATATAGATTAGACCGTTGGTTTTTCCGTTTGAATGGTTTTACTCTAGTAATTTTTTGTGGC